TTTTTGAAGGGTTCCTCTATATTTTAAACCACTTATGTAACGACGGATATAAAAATTTCCAAGGCAGTGCCAACAATTTAAAGAGAAATCACTCTTCAATCAGTTTCCTTCATAATCACCAAGGCTGTCTTTGTGAGGAAGGGATAGTAGGGACAATGGATGAGGGGGGATAGATGAGGTAAATTCCTTAGTTGGCCCCATGAACTGAGACCAAATGAAGGAAAGGAAAAATCCTTCCTCATTTGTGGTCTACATTCTGTCCAATTTGGGCAAATTGGCTTCCATCTTTGCCCTCCTTGCCAGCCAAACAACTAGATGGATGAGTTAACACACATCCTTTCTCCTTTCCATCCTCCCGCTTTACCATATCCATCCTTCCTCATTCCATCTTTTCAACCAGAAAAACACCAAATACATTATACACCCCCCACCCCAAATGGATCTCACAGTCGAATACTACATAGGTCAATATCATTTTGAACCATACAAAGTTCCAGGACACAAATTTACTTAACCTGTAGATCCCATGTCTCATCTTACATAAATAAATGCTGCCAAATAAAAAAAGAATAATAATTCAATTTCTAGAAATTTGTTGTTCGTTACTACCTCTCAAGTGCAACAGCACATGGTCAGATTTCAATGGTAAATCATGATACTGATTATAATGATTATAAGTAAATCATAGATTTTTCACAATCATAAAGCTACAAATTAGGCAATCAATACATCATAATTTGATCAGTTAAGAAGCAATCAACTACCAGCCTCAAAAGCATAGTCACTTGTCTTGGCATCCTTGACCACAGCTACAGTGAGGCCAGCATTAGTTGTAGCGTTGCCACACACATAAATGCCACGTGGACAAACAGCTGCTGCTGCTTGCAGTAATTGACTCTTGCCTAGTCCAGGATCACCTAAAAATGAGAATTAATTTTTGTCAAGTCCATCCTCTCTTCCTGTGCACCCCCCAATTTGCAAAGATGTTTTGAATTCTAATCTAGATTTTGTCTAAGCTCTAAAGGATAAATTTCATTAATATAAACTGATAAAATTAGAAGCATACCAACAATTATAACATGGATGTCTCCTCTGACAGGGACCTTATTCAGATCCATTGAATGCTTCCGGACACCTCCAAACAGTGCTAATGTTATCCCCGCTGTTTAAGGGAAAAAGAAATCAGAAGTATACATAACTTTGCTTTTGAATTTAAATACAATGATTAGGAGCCAATCAAATTTACTACCTGAAAAAACTAGGTGGTTCATATTTAGAGACTGCAAGGAATTGCATTATTCAAGACTGGATAGCAGATTTTACAGAAAAGGATACCATCGGAAAAAACAAATATTGGTGTACAGAAACAGTGGAATATCAGAAAATTTAAAGATATATAGAGCAAATTTATTAGTGATTTAGAAAGTTGTTTTATTTTTCCAGCATAAGCACAAAGATTGGGAAATAGGAGTGAAGACCTTCACACAGCACATTCTACATTTCCGAAAAACAGTAAAAAGATGGTGAAGACATTGGTGAAAACGAATCAGAATAAAATTAGAGGGTCACTTTAACACACAAAAGTTTGGAATACCTTTAACAAGCTCATGTCCATAGATAGACGGACATATTGACTGAAGTATTTGCCGGAAGATATCTGAACCATGTTCTTCTGAGAACTTCACAATAAATTCCAGATCTCGTGGAGAGAATGAGAACAGATCAGACAGTTCTGTAGCTCTTGCATTACATTTGGAATCTTGCAAATTGTCTGATGTAGATTGCGACTTGGAGTTTTTTATAGAGACCACTTCTAGATACAAATAATAAAATCCTTGATTTTTGTTTTTTGATTTTCCTGAAAGTGTTAAGGCTTGCAGAAGGCTATATTAGCAACTGGAAATAGTTTCAGTTAAGTGCACTAGAGTTAAATACTCATGCATCAATCATAAAGAATTATGCATACACACGTGAATAGACTGTAAAACAAAGCAATGCTGCAGCATAAATCACTACAGCCAACCAGTGTTCTAATCTCAATTTGCAGATCTTTATGCTTTCCACCAGTGCAAATCTTCAGAGAAATGTTATGATCCTAAAAATCTCAAGAAAAGTCTTAAGCTTAAACTAATAAGGAAATGATATAGTCTCATTATTGAAACAGCTATATGATAGTGTAACAAAATAGAAAAAAGAGTTCCATGTCATGTCACATTGTAGGATTGCTTTAGATAAGGTCTACTGATCACATTTTATATCTTTGCTTAGGGACTGCACATGGAAACAGTTTTCTTGGAACTGATACCATCTCAATGGTGTAATCTATCCATAAATCTGTCATGAAAATAGGAGAAATAATTTCTTTTCCAAAAACAGAAAGTAGGTCGTGGTCTAGAAATTTGAGTTTTCAATCAAATACCAAAACTTGTGAGCATCTCTTTTGATTAGTAGAACATCAGTTCTCCTGTATATAAATTAAACAGAAGGTGATGGCTAAGCAGTATCACATGAAATAGCAATTTTAATTTTGATGAAGCTCAAAAACTGTAAATAGAAACAGCCACTATTTAGTTTATACAGTTCTCATCTTTTTGGATTCTCTGTTTACTTGTACATGTAATTCCTGTAGTCATTCATGTGTCAGAAAAGGAAGCCTATAATTTCTTCATGAACTTCATAGAGTGAATATATATATATATATATATATATATATATATATATATATAACAACAGCTAAAGTGGTTGCGTTAGGACCAACAATAGAGATGCAAATCATGCCACCAACTGTATATCATGTCCAGGAGGGTATGCATTTTTCCCAGTGGTAAAGAATCTTCTTTATTTTTTAGGCATCCTCTCGGCAATTTTTTTTGTTGTGATATAATGCACATAAGATGGTTTTGATGAAAAGGCACAACAAGATTGGCGTTTACAACGATGCTTATAGCTTTATGGATCTAAATCACCATCCCGTCATTAACCACAAAGTATCAACAATGATCATGCACAATTCCATGTATGATGATGGAATACAGTGGCACATGGGTGTCAAAGAAATCCTTTTATCATACCTCCTCCTGTATCCAAATAGCTATTGAATGTTTTTATAATGCCAGTGACAGTCACCACATCTCCAGGGATGCATGCATCAACAAGATCTTCAGTCAATTCGCATTCCACTGTTCGTGGCACCCGTCCTTCTTCATGATCTTCAGATTTTAGTAATTCCTGTAGCCTGATGAAGACCACATGTTGAGTGGAAAAAAAACAAAGACAGCAACATATTCTTCATTTCAAGGGGACTAAGGAAACCCTTCAAGGGATAAATTGAAGTATGCTTTGCATCACTGCGCTTACCTTATTTTCTGAAAATCTATGGCTCTAGCAGAAGATCTAATTGGGATGAAAGTTCTGCTCTTGCACCCATTTAAAGAGCAAACAGTTGGTGGTGAAAATTTTCCATCAGGAAATATACGTAAAATGCTGTATTTGCACTTCGCACAGTCGAAATTCATTTGTACCACTAGTGGCCTCACATTGCTAACTTTAACCACACTCCCCCGCACAGATACAAGCTTGTCTGTCATGTCACCAAATGATATGCCATTCATATATTTCCTCATCCAAGTCTGGGGGCAAAAAAAAAAAAAAAACGCATACATAAAATTATACTTACCAATATATGCTGCTTTTAGGTTCTTTAAAGCAATCATAGATTCAGGATAGTTGTGAAGACGGATGTTTATCTTCATGCCATCATCGAAGAAGCTGTCCTCGCATTTGCTCAAAAACACCTATTCCAATTCATTAATAGATTTCGTTGAACCGAAAAAAAATTGGAAGAAACCTCCAAGCATTATCCACTACTGTCAGTGTGTACCTTGTGAACTGCAGCCCCCATGCACGAGAGAGCTACTTTAGGTTTCTCTTCTAAAGTTGCATAAAATTCCTCAAGTTCACGTATATTTTGAAATTGTTGAAAATCAATAGACAAATAGTACGCTCCATTTTTATCCTTTACCTGTTCACATAATTCAAACATCAAATTCCTAAATTTACTGATAATCCATAAACAAATCCGATCACTGCAACTCAAAAACCTAACGAGAGGTTCAAACTTATATAATAGACAAAAAAACAAACATTTAAGACTAGCTAAGAATGTCATAACAAAAACAAAAGCAGCAGCCTAAAAAAGTAAAAACCTGATTTTCTTCCTCATTTTTCTTTTATTTAAATCATTAAAATATTAAATTAATCACAATAAACCTCCCTTTTTCACTTAACTAGTCACCATCATTCTATAATATGTGCCTAAGTCCTTACAATTAATGAACGCCTTCTACGATTCTGCAAAGAAATTAACAATTAAACAGCTTTTAGATTTCCAATTTCCAGGAAGCCAAAGCTAGTTCAAGAACAATTTCTCATAATATAGTGCTAATTATACAGTTTAAATCAAAAGAAAGAGATAGAGAGGGACCTGAGAAGCAAGATCCTCACCAGGAGGAGTATTGCTAAAGAAGTGAATGAGATGAGAAGTGAGCATCAGCTTTTCTTCGTCTACTGCCAACTCGTTTGAAGGGCAGTATGTGGCCAATATGCTAACGACGTCGTCACTTGCATAGTGGTGGTGTTGCTCCTTTTTGCTCGAGCTCTCTCCATGAGTTCCGTACATCGCCGATGGGTAGGAAACGACCGTTGTTCTCCGCCGATAAAGGTGTGCGAAAATTCTCCTCTCGTTTTGGCGGGATACAGAGAAGAGAAACGAAACGAAACAAAATGGGCTTTTGGTCATGGGTTTTTTATCGGGCCAATGCAATTTTTGGCAGATGGCTTACACGTGGAGGGCCGATAAGCCAGCAGCATCCCCCCGGTCTCTGACTAGCCACCAGAAACGAAACAGGGTTTTAAAAACAGACCGTCCGATGTCATCCACGTGTCAAGTCTAAACAATAAACAGTGCCCAAGATAAAACAGCCCGTCAGGTTACCAAAAAAATCAGGCCCCTCGCCTTACTCTTCAATATATAGTTTTTCTTTCTCCACCCCTCTCTCTATGCAACAAACTACACAAGCTCACAAAGCTGAAAGAGAGTGACCAAAAGGTACTTGTTCCTCTTCTTCTTTTTTCCAACCTATTCTTTTGGGTTCATTTATGTGTTAAAAGCTGAATTCTTGTTCATTTCTATTCATTAGGTTTTCTATAAATAATGAAATGGTTTGGTTATGCTATTGCTAGGGTTTATTGTTAAATGTCTGCAAATCTTGACAGCATCGACTTAAACTCCGACGTACTTTCCGGTGAACCAGAAAACGATGCTAATGGGTTTAATAATGTCTCTGAAGTAAGGACCAAGGCGGGTTTATCTTCTGATGCTGAAGCCCTATTAGACTCTGGTAAGAATGGTGAGGGTCAGAACCAGGAGGCTGTAATAGATCAAGTTAAGGACTTTAAAGGGGATTGTGACTTGAAGGAGGTTGCTGTTGGTGGGATAGGTAGGGAGGGAAAGATGGATTCTGCTGATAAAAGTGTTGATTTGGAAGGGGAAAATGGGTCTGGAAGTGGTGTTGATGATGGCTCTGCACAAGAAGTAGAAGTAGCGGAAACAGCTGTAACATACTCAAGAAAAGTAGAGGGAGAGAGTTCATTTAAAATCGGTGAGGAAGTGAAGGAGGGGGATTGTGGCGTAGCAAGTTCTAGTTCAGTCGGTGAGGATGATATCCAAGCGAAAATTGCTGATGTGAAAGTGAAAGTAGACAATGCGAATGACTTATCGCCTCACAAAAAACCTGGAAATGTTTCACCAAAGGTTAGTTCTGAAGGTGTTGAGAGTCATCTCATGGAAATCGATGATGAACGAGGTAAGGACTCCGAGGCTGAAAATGAGGATGCCGCTGCTTTTGATGAAGGGGTTTTGCGGGAAAATGAGAACCTTGAGTCCAACGAGTCAAATCTTGTTGTGGATATCGGCGCAGATGGGAATGCTACAGGTGATGTGAATACAAAAATGGCTTCCAAAGAAGCAGGATTGAGTGTTGGTGATCTGGTATGGGGTAAAGTGAGGAGCCATCCGTGGTGGCCTGGGCAAGTATTTGGTCGTAGTGATGCGTCAAAGAAGGCTAAGAAGTATTTTAAAAAGGATAGTTATTTAATAGCATACTTTGGGGATCAAACTTTTGCTTGGAATGAGGTGTCAAAGATAAAGCCGTTCCGATGCAGCTTCTCACTATTGGAGAAACAGAGCAATTTAGAGGATTTTCATGATGCTGTTCATTGTGCTTTGGATGAGGTTTCTAGACGGGTGGAGTTTGGGCTGGCTTGTCCATGCATGCCTGGGTATAGCAAGATAAAAACTCAGATAATTGTCAATCCTGGAATCCGGGAAGAATCTTGTAGAAGAGATGGTGGGGATAGTTTCTCAAATGCTGCTTGTTTTGAACCCCCAAAACTTATTGAGTATGTGAAAGAATTAGGCCAATTGCTGTTAGATGGAATTAACATATTGGAGTTTGTAACAGCACGATCCCAGTTGTTGGTATTCAATCGTTGGAAGGGTTATTCTCACCTGCCTGAATTCCAAATCCTTGGTGAACTGCTAGAGAGTGATGCAGAGATTCCACAATCAGCAGAAGTTAAATATGCCAGTGAAATGGTTGAAAATACTGCAACCAAGGTTAAAGATGAGCCTGTATCCTCTGGAAAGGAGAAGCCAAAAGGTGCGGATCACTCTTCACGCAAGCGCAAGCACATTTCTGGGGATAAGGAACATCCAAGCAAGAAAGAAAAAAGTTTGGCTGACCTTATTGCTGAGAGGCGCTCATCAGCTGCTAAAGGTAAATGTAGTTTGGATGGTGAAGCTACTGGCAAGACGACTAAATCATCTTCTGGTAAGAAAAGGAAGGCTGTTAAATCTATTTCTGATGATTCAACGATGAAACAAAGCAAAAGTCCTTCCTCATCAGGGGTTGATAATGGTTCTTCGCAGCCTAAAAAAACCTATAGAGTTGGAGAAAGTATCCTCAGGGTTGCAAGCCAACTGAATGGATCGACTCCTATACTCAAATCTGTTAATGGAAAATCTGTTAATACAACTTCTCGAAAAAATGCAGAGAAGACTAGGAGCCGGGAGAAGTCTGCCTCTGGAAAGAGTAAAGGTAAAACGCTGTTTTCAAGAATGAATGATTCTGGTGGGGAATGATTTTTAAGATATTTTTCATGGGAAATTTAGAGATTATATAATAGTTTCTTGTAATGTATTTCTTTATGGGAAAATCTAGTCGTTTTAGGCTATTATAAAGTTAGTGGTACTTTGGGTCTTATTCTGTTTAGAACTTTATAATCTTTCCTAAATTATTGATAATTAAATTTCGGCTCTCTCTCTTCTCCCTAACTTCGTCTACTTCTCTGGCTCCTCCTCCCCCTCTCAGCCCTGATTTCTCTATTCCTATCTTTGTCCACATCAGCTTCGCCTGATGAGTTGGTGTCATAGCTTTGCTTGGTTGCCAGAGATCCTATGAAGGAATGCAACTTCCTGAAATCTGTAGTTAGTTTCTTTGTGAAATTCAGGAATTCAGTTTGCATTAATCCACTCAATTCACAGAAGCATGTACATCCCTCCCTGGAACATATTTCTGGTGGTGATGTTGGAGAATTATCAACCATAGTAGAAACTCAAACTACTGATTCAGAGCATATGAAAGATTCTCATTGGACTGACAAGATGACTCAAAGCAATCCTAAAGGTCAATCATCCCATGAGAATGAGATTGAAGCAAGAGAAATTCCAGAGGAGACTCCAACCAAAGATGGCATTCCGACCTTCAGAAAACAATCAGCTGTTCAGTTGGAACCCAATTTGGAGTGTGAACTACTCATTGCTGGTGGAATTCTTGATTTGGGAGCGGGCAAGCCCATAGATCACTTGGAAGGGAAGCGTAATGGTGATTCCTTCCCATGTCCAACAGCTTTGATTCTAAACTTCAGAGACTTGGATGCAGTTCCTTGCGAGACAAATTTGAACAGGATATTCAGCCATTTTGGACCTTTAAAGGAAACGGAGACTCAGGTGCTGAAGGAAAGCAAGCGTGCTAAGGTGGTTTTCTGCAGAAGCGCTGATGCAGAAACAGCCTTCAGTAGTGCTGGGAACTACAGTTTCTTTGGACCTTCACTTGTCAGCTACCGCCTCAAGTATATTACTTCCAAAAATTGTAAATCTTCCCCTAATGCAACAAAGCGCAGCGAAATAGATGCATCATCTTCGGAGGGAATAGCAATGGATGCTTCAAGCTCCCACTCCCTTGAAGCAGTCGGAGTAAATACAGTTCGAATGCTAAAATTAGGCTGAACGGTGATGGAGGCACTTTTAAGGAGGTTACGAGGCAGTATAGTGATATGATTAGTCCATCGTGCTTACTTTTCAGTTTCCTTATAGAGAGAGAGAGAGTTATCATTCAATTAGGTTGCATTTCCATTTTTATCGTGCTTTCTAGTTTCTTGAAAGAGTGACGGAGGGACACTTTAGTAGCCATCGGTTTATATTTCTTTCTGCTTCACTCCAATTTCCTTGCGTATGCAAGTTCCTATGCGGCCGTATGCGGTTAAGTTTTGCTTCAGTTGTTCTCGTTCACTACCACGGCTTGCGTTTGGAATGCATCGACGTGCGACGGTGGATCTGAGGTGTCGTGAAATATCCTGATATTAAATAAAAAGTTGATATTACAAAATAAAACTCCAGGTTATAGTTTAAAAATAAAAATAAAAAACAAGTATCCAAGTTAACACAAGAAAAAAACACTACTCTTTATTTTTTTACTATTCATGAGCACAAAAAATTCATTCCGATCCTTGAAATTTTCATTTTCTTAATTTTAACCCGAATTGTACGTTTTAGCCATTAGCCATGAGCTTATGTTTTTGATGTTGAGAAAAATATATCTTTAAATAAATTTATTAAAATAAATATTTAAGAGATTATCTCATTATACCGTTGTTAAACAATGAATGAAATGGAAGGATTTTCACCTAGCGATGCAGCACAAATGGATTGCACTCAAATGGAAACAATGAATGTGGGGCCCAGTAAACACGCGTCTCTGATTAATATCAACTGACAAACACGTACCAGAAATATATCAGAAAACAGTCCAGCACACCCAAACCTGGGTTGATAAAAGGAGGATCGTGCGTCATTAATACTTTAATTTTCTAAAAAAAGATGAAGTTAGAAAAAGGAGAAGTAGAACTTTATGCTCAAATATATTTGGCATTCCTAGTAATGGAGTTCTACTCCAATATTCCAAGAAAAATAGAAAAATGAACGTGGAAAATTGAAGTTAGTGTTCCAATACATTATTTTTACAAATGAAAAAAAAAAAAGTGTTTTCTCAATTTTTTTATCATAAAGTTTTTATGATTATTTTTCACTCAGAAATATATTAAAATAAATTTTTTATTTTAAAAAATTATTTTTAATATTATCATATCAAAATAAACAATATTAATTTAAAATAAAATATTTCAAAAAAACACAAAAAATAGGCTCTCTATCTAGAATAGTTTTTTAGTTTTTCAAATGTATATTGAATTTGAAAACTAAAGAATTAGAAAAAAAACACAAAAAAATAGGCTCTCCATCTAGAATAGTTTTTTAGTTTTTCAAACTTATATTGAATTTGAAAACTAAAGAATTAGAGGTTCTTTGTAATTTTTCTTTACAAGTTTTCCATCCCTTCCCAAGTTTAAAAAATTATGAACAATATATATTTTAAGATTATTTTGTTATATTAAAAAATCTTTTGCATCAAATACAAAAACAAAAATACACACATTCAAAATATTGACTATTAAAATTATTTTCTTGATGTGCTCTCTAATATTCTCCACTACAGAACTTGTATTTAGACAACTAAACAATTCTCCTAAAAAAAAAGATTTCAAACTTATTTTTTTATGTAAATCTAATATAAATATTCTTTTAATTATCAATATAATTTTTTTATGATAATTTTAATTTTATTAAAGTAAAATTAATATTCTACAATTATATTATCATGAATATAAAATATTAAGATAATTATTATAAATTATTGTTTTGATTTTTCATGTAAAACAATTGAATCTTAATTTATTTTTATTTTCTTCAATGAAAAATTATTCTTTATTTTCAATAAATAAACATATTTTTTATATTTTATTTAAAATATAATAAATAAATAATAAAAAATAATTATGTTAATAAATATAATAATATTTCAGATCATCTGCTTTTAAATTGGTTCAGCTACTAATATATATATATTCTTGTCCAAGCACAATATTCATTGTATGCTAGAAAATTTTATGATTCTCATCTGTCACTATTGTACATGAAAAGAAATTTTTTTAAAAGAAAATGATAGTAAAAACAATTCTTATATGAAACAGGAATTAGTAATTACAAAAATAATGCCCGCCTTCCATTTTAATCTTTTTTTTTTACTGTTTTTATTTTTATATTCAAAAATATTTTTAAAAATTTATAATTTTTTTAAAAATTAATTTTTATATAATTTTAGATTATTTTGATATGTTGAGATACAAATATATTTTAAAAAATAAATAAAATATTATTTTAGTAAATTTTTAAATAAAAACAACCTCACTACATACTACTTTTTACTGAGCACTGATTATTTTATTTTTTTAAACCGGCCGCTTCTCTAGAAATTCAAAAATCAATCTCCCTCCCCCCCCTCTCTCCCCTACGGTCTACCTTTCTACCTCTCAAATCCCTCGCACCCTAAGCCCTAAATTCAGAATCAATAAATAACTTTTTTTTTCCCACTTAGAACCTTATCGCAATGAATGAATCCGAGCAAAATTTCAGCTTCGAAGAAAAATCGCTAAGCCTCATTGATGTCTCCTTTGAAGACGATTGCCTTTATAACTCACCTTCCCACGACTTCCATGTCCGATTCTCAGGTCTTCTTCTTAACAATCATCTAATTATTTCTTCTTTTTACCTTGATTAAGCTGATTTTAGTCCTGCAAACGAGCTTCAATTTAAATATGTCTGTGGCGACGTGGAGGTAATTGATCTTGTTTTTTTTTTTTTATTCTTGAAATTGCGAATTTTAGGTTTTTTTTAATTATCATGTTTTTTTTACTTGCTTAGTCTCTATGTTTTCTTTAATCATAACAAAATAGATTTAAAATTGAGCATTCGTGGGTGATTAATGATGATAGATTTGTGTCTAAATCCATTAACATGTAATGGAGCAGCCCAACTAAATTGCAGATTAAGAACAAAATACTAGTTGCAGAATTCAATTTATGTTTGATCATCCACGGCGCAAATAATCCGTTAGCTCTAATGTGCAGATACTAAGATAGGGGCCGAAAATAACTTGGGTTTTGCGGAAGCCAACAATACGCAATCCATGCTGGACTCCTTTGACGGGGGAGAACTAGGACCTGATCCTATTAAATCAATGGAACCAGAAAGGGTGAAAAAGAATACAAAGTATAACTTGCGCAAAAGCTTAGCTTGGAACAGTGCTTTCTTCACAAGTGCAGGTTTAGTTTCATTTCATGAAATTTGAAGATTTTCATTCATTCATGTGGTAAGGAACGCATTTTTTGGTGTAAGCAGGTGTTCTGGAACCGGAAGAGTTGTCTAGCATGATTGGAAGCGAGAAACATATGTTACCCGGGATTGAAGAGGATATCCATACATCTAGTGATTCTATATCTACATTAGCGAGTGATAATTTGACCTTGGTGAATCTTGAGGAGGCTGACTTGTTTGGAGATATAAGAGCTTCAATCCAGCGATCCACTAAAGGGCCTGGTATGGAAAATTCAAGTAGCAAAGTGGGTTCTCCAAAAACAGAAAGCAAAACCATCCGATGTAAGTCTGCATTTACTACTACACTTGGCCCGGGACAATTAAAACACTGCATCTAATTCATATCTTCAAACTCATGCAACCGTGATCCTCTATCACCATTATCATTGATTGTTCCGTCTAAGTCTAGTGAACTATACTTAGTCCACAAACAACCACATAGCTAATTGTGTTCCTTTATCCATTTATTACCTCCTCCGACACTATTATACTGTCCTGACAAATTCTATCTCAGATACAACGTGCTAATACCATTCAGCTGGTTTCACCCTGACAGTCTAAAATAACATTTTTCAATGTCACAAAATTTAAAATCTCCAGGTCACCTTGATTCTATCTAAGATGGGCATAATGCTGGGGTTTGCCACGGGGACCAGGTGAAAAGTAAACATGCATTTCATGCTTCTAGATAGAGTTGCTGGACTAATTCCCTTACAGAAAAGATGGTGCCGTTGTGTTTGATATACCCTGTAGGATGTTAAGACGCCATCCTCTTCCCTCTTGCATGTGTGCGCATGTTTGGATCTTGCAGAATATTTTCCGTTGTTTATTTGCTGTGAAAAATCTTTGTCCAAGTTCAGACTGATTAGGCTAGCATGTTCCCCAGTAACCTTGTAGATTTTGGCTTGAAAATTGCAATTAACTCATTATGATTGCATGTTTTTGTTAGCTCATCTTTAAACTAATAGAACTGTTCCTTTCAGCTTCGGAGAAAGTGGATGTTGCTTCTCGAAATAGGGTACCAGCTTCGGAGAAAGTGGATATTGCTTCTCGAAATAAGGTAACTTCAACAGCTAGAACTGTAATTCACTTAATTGTCTTTATTGTAAAGAACTTTGTACATTTTGATGCCTTATTATTGTAAATTTCAGCTAAAGGCCAAAGCTGCTCCCAACAAGCCAAATGCAATCATGCAAGGAACAGAGAAGACTGCAAAGCAGGTCTGTCTGTCCACAAACTTCATTGCATGCATTTATTTGATATTTAGCATATGTTTTGTTAATTATGCTGCTGTGTGGAAAGGAATCGATGTCAGTTATCCTGGCATTTAACTGGAAGCAGACATTGTTCATTTGATCTAGATATTAATTAATTAACAATTATTAACATTAACATTAAAAATTAAAAAAAAAACTAAAATGTGTGGCTAATTTGCAGTATCTACATTTATAAAATACTATTCCTGAGTGTAGTATTTTGTGGTTTCTTTTTCTTTTTTCTATTGTCACCCTTCAATTTCTCAATATATTTTTTTCAATTTCTATTTTAGGAATTATGTTTTGTTAGTTTTTATTTTTTATTTTTTTCTATTGAGTTATATATTAGTTTCATGAATTTTTTTTTTATTTCAACCTTTAATGTTAAATATTATGGAAGTAGAACTTTGAAATTTTTTTAATTTTCTTTTTTGAATATTTCATAATATTATGATTGGGGTTTAATAGGTTAACATGGGTTTACTTGGAATACTTTTCCTTGGGCCTTTTTTTATAATTTTTTATGGGATTATCCTGATCTAGTGATATTTGTTGTGGGTTTGACAAGTTGACTTGATTTATTTTTTTATCTATTTTTAATTTTTTTTTTAATATTAGGTTATTTGACAATCTGACTTCATAATTATTTTTAATTTATTTTTTGTGCAATTATCATGATCTCATGGATATAATATTTTTTTTCTTCTCAATTTCAATCTTCAATATTGAATTTGTTAGAAATAGATCTTTTGATTTATTTTTTTTGTTTTTTATAGGGTTATCCCAGTCTTATAACTTAAGTTGTACATTTAACAAATTAGCCCGAGTTGACTTGTGTTATTTTTTATCTTTTTTTTAAAATTTTTTTCTCAATTTCATTTTTTCAACATTAGGTGTTGAGAATTGGGTTTTGTAATTTATATTTATGTGGTTATCTCGATTTTATGACCTAGATTGTTGGTTTAACAAGTTAACTTATGTTTTTTTTTTTTTTTAATATTTTGTTTTTTAATTTCATTCTTCAATATTAGATTGATATAAAATTATTCTTTATAATTTATTTTGATTTGTTTTTATATGGTTATTATGATTTTATAATCTAGATTTTATAAGTTAATACAGGTTGATATAATATAACAATGTTTTAATATTTTTAAAAAATATCATTTAAAATGCCACTATATCAATATTTTCAAAAAATATCATCCAATATATATTATATTTTGTATTTGTGATTATTTTTTTTTTAATTAGAAAACAAGAAGGCTTGGATATTTTTCTTTACATTAAAAATTGATCTGCACCCGAGCGCCAGTTGTTAATCTAGTGTTGGCTGTGTCATTTGGCATGCTATTTGTATACGTAAGGAGGGGAAAAAACATTTAAATATCACGAAATGGGCCTGATTTCGGTTATGGTTTAACCAACATTATTCCGTCAATACAGTTTGTTCCTATAAATGGAGAGGCAAAATCTCTTTACAGGCCGCCCAAGATAGTTGGCAGAGTTGGTCCCATTTTAGCACCAGCCACTAAGATAGCTTCCTTGGGTGCCAACCGTGTCAAAGTGGAAAGGGCTAAGGATAATCCAGAAAATGCAAAAAAAATAGCTGGTAAATTCATCCCTGATTTCTTATGATTCCATTTGATGTGGAAAATGTGGACCGCTGATGTAAACGTTATTGTGCAGGTAGAGCGGCAAAAGTACCTGCTTTGAGTGGTCCCAGAAATGCTGTGCCTAGGCCGACATTGCCTGTTAAATCTTCATTGCGATCTTCATCAGCAATGAAGACCGCGCTAACGGCTTCTTCCTCTATTGATAGTTCTGGAAGCTTGTTATCAGACTGTAGCAGTAAAAATTCATTAAATTCTGTGAGAAGAGAAAGTGACTCCAGAACTGGCAATCATACTTCCTCTGGTTCAAATGTCAAAACCACATTGAAATTCCCATCAAGAAATAAAAACCAGTCAGCATGTTCTCATCTCTCACCTTATTTGAAATCTGTGGCCAAGCTCTCTTCCAGCATATCACCTGCTAGCTCCATCAGTGAATGGTCTTCAGCATCATTATCACCGATTTCTACCCTTAATAAAATGTCTAACAGTTCAAGATCTAGCTTTGACATTAGCTCTTGCAAAGATGCTTCTGGGGACAGTGATGCCTCCCAAGTTTCGGATTCTCAAAACCATTTAAATGACGAAAACTCTGTTGGGTATGGTACCCAAGTGGGATTGCTGGGTGAGAGTGTAAAGAAAGTTCCTACAGGAAGAAGTTCAGTTCTCCATCCAGATTCGGTTAAACCCTCAGGCCTTAGTTTGCCATCACCGAAAATTGGTTTCTTTGATGGGGTCAGTTCTGAGTTTCCTTTCATAAGCATTTTAGAATAATTGGTTTCTGATTTTTCCAAGGGAAAGGAGGCAAAAAGGTCATCACTTGTAATGCCTAGGATAACCATCATTACAAAATGTTGTTTTCTTGAAATTTAAGCTAGTAAAACGCCTCCCTTGTTCTTGATCATTGTTCTTCCAATTTGCATTTTTTCAGGGAATTGTTACACCCACATGTGATTTGTCAATTATGCAGGTGAGACCAGCTGCACGAACTCCAAATAGAAGCAAGCAATCTCATACAGCTCTGCCCAGTGGCTTGCCTGGATTTAGGGCAGGAAGTGTTAGTGCAACTGGAGGGTCAAAAAATGCAAAGCTTGGAAAGCTTCAGCCTGCTAGAACAGCACTTCGGAGTACCAAAATTAGTGATCAGGCAGCTGCCTTGGGCATGAAATCTAAATCTCCCTTACCTCTGCAGGAATCCTCAAATGCAGCACCAAGGGCCTCTGGTGCTTTGAAAAACGAGAAACACAGTGCTAGCAAACCTCTAAAAGCTCAGAACAGAAAGTCATTTCAAGGTGAAAGAAAAAGTAATTTGAAGGCAGAGAAAAATGGATCAGAAGAATGTGGCACGTCTCTGAAGGATACAGATAGTGGTTTTACTGAAGGGAATGCGAATGCCTGTTTTTTGATGGATAAAAAGGAGACAGAGAGCAAGAGTGATGTTCCTGGAAAAGATACTGGGATTACTCTCCGCAATGGATTGCATGATAAGACTTCCGGCTTGACCTCTATTCCCAAGGCTGAAAGTATGACCTCATTAGAGAAAGTAGGTGAAGATGTGGTATGTAGCCAGAATTATATCAAGAATAGTTTGTCTTCTCTTCACGGCACTAATGAGAAGAAAAAAGCTTCTGCTGAAGAACAAGTTGATGGTTTGACCAAACAAATTGGAGCTGTAGATTTTTATAATGAGTTGCACAAAGAAGCCATAGGTGATTCTCTTTTCCTTTCTCAAGATGATGTCGGTAGAGTTGCTTCTGGTATTCAGGAGGAATTCAAACAGTTGTCAAAGCCTACTTGCTCCCCAAATCCTGCTATGGCATCAACAATCGTGGAAGCAGAGAAGGCAGAGGCAGGAGTTGAGAAAGCTTCTGTTGAAGACCAAGTTGATGGTTTGACCAAACAAATTGGAGCTGTAGATTTTCATCTTGAGATGCACAAAGAAGCTTTTGGTGATTCTCTTTGTCTTTCTCAAGATGATGTCAGCAGAGATGATTCTGGTACTCAGGAGGAATTCAAAGAATTGCCAGAGCCTACTTGCTCTCCAGTTCCTGCTATGGCTTCATCAATGGTGGAAGCAGAGAAAGAAGAGGCAGGAATTCATAAAGCTACCGCTGAAGACCAAGTTGATGGTTCGACCAAACTTGGTGATTTTCTTTCACTTTCTCAAGATGTCAGCAGAGTTGATTCTCATGTTCGGGAGCAATTCAAAGAGTTGTCAAAGCCTACTTGCTCTCCCACTCCTGTTATAGCATCAACAATGGTGGAAGCAGAGAAGGCAGAAGCAGGAATTGAAAAGGCTTCTGTTGAAGACCCAATTGATGGTTTGATCAAACAAAGTGGAGCCTTAGATATCCATTCCAATTGTTGTATTCAGGAGGAATTCAAAGAGTTGTTGAAGCCCGCATGCTTTCCCACTCCAGCTATGGCATCAACAACAGTGGAAGTACAGATGGCAGAGGCAGCCACCTTGCTAAATCCAGCAACCACACATGGAAAATCTGAAGATGGTGAAACATCCTAGCAGTAAATTTCTCAAAGGTACTACATGAAATGTGAATCAAATATGTCACCATTGTATTGTGTCATACTCTTGCAACTTGATGAAAGTATTGATTCTTAGATCATCAGTAATTATTATTAAAGTCGTTCTTTAAGCTTCCTGGAGTTCTACTTTATGCCAGATTGATCTTGTCTCACAATGAATCGCAGGCAGGTGTTTACTTGGAGACAATTCTTAATTTACCATCTTATTAGCTGTTTCGCTTCCATGTTTGAGAAGGATCTGACAGCTTCACTCCATGTTTCTTGTTAGGGTTTCCTGTTGGATGTAAATTGTACAAGTGTGTGCAATTCAGACTTACAGGTTCAAACATGCGATAACGGGAGGACAGAGATCTTCTTGTTCGAACGTGCATTTTATGCCCATATGTCCATTTTTATATCACTGATAATCCATTTGTTTTTTCTTTCTTTTTTCCGTAGTTTTTGTCTAGAATTTTTGCAGCAACCTCTGGGGCTGTACATGTTTATGGTCAGTGCATGTAGCAGCTATATTTCCTTCTAGTTACTCTTGTATATTAAACACATGACTCCAAGACGAGAAAAGTGGAAACTGATGCAGGGTGATGTTTTTTATGGGCTCGCGTAGTTGTCTATTGCATCTATCAGTATTCGATCACGCTGATCACACAGAAATTGATGTTCGATCTATTTGTAAGCCCCACACTTTTCTTTTCATTTTTGTAATGGTGCTTCAACACCGGAACGTACTCCGGAGGATTGGGCTCAAGGCCTGGAAAGTGGAAACAGAAATGGCCTAAAATATTTCAAAATTCACGTATGGCCGCTGCTTTTACTTATCGGAGACACGATTTTTTAAATGAAAACTCGGAAAATATTTACACCGTAATTACACAAATATTTACATTTATTTTCTTGATATAAATAGTTAATATTTAAATGGAAATTATTGATTCCAATAAAATGATTCAATAGTAACATACCCTCTTAAATTCATGGTGATTAATCAAAAAGCATCAATTTACATATTAGAAATTGTTGGTAGTGACAAATCATTGATTTTATAAATACATAAGCTATTTAAAGATTGAAAAAGATATACAAAAAAGAAATAACTTTAGTATTTATGGCTTCCTAAATAAAATAACAATCCACTTCAACATATTTAATATGCTCATGGAAACAAGATATTTCACGAACTAAATAATACTCCTGTTGTCGGCATAAAAGGAACTGAGATTAGTATGTGGAAATCCAATGACAATTCCGCTTCAATATCAAGGAATCAATAAGAAAAATACAATAACCTATGACAAATCAAATATGTATTAAGACATGTCCATTTAACATCATTATATGCAATAAAACAAACAAAAGCAAATCAAATTGTATCAAGACATGTCCATTTAACATTATTATATGCAATAAAACAAACAAAAGCAAATCAAACTATATCAAGACATATCCATTTAACATCACTATATGCAATAAAACAAATAAAAGAACCATTTGGAAAAAATATACCATCACTAAAACAGCCAACGAGATATTGAATGATGTGACAAACAACCATCAAAAGTAAATGACATGTAGATTTCATAAAATGACTAACTTGTTAAACTGTAAAAGAGATATCAGACTAAGTGATAGTAAGATAAATTAAACTGTCAATTTATTGCCAAAATAAAGTAGGATCAAGAAGAAGATATTTCTTTTCATAATAAAACTTTACATTTATCTTTAGAGGAGTATCCACTGGAGAAGAATATTGAAGACCAAAAAAATTAAATCCTGAGTATATTTATATTAATTAAAGAACACACCAAAAGAACTAGAATAAATTTTCAATCCTAAAAAGTAAGTAAGAAAATTGAGGCCCTACATATGAAAACAAATCTTAAAGATATTACTAAAGGTGTCTAATAAATAAAAAATCAGTTCTTGTAATGACAATATCATCAATATAAACAAATAAAAGAACAAAACTAGTAGATATCTTGCAAAAAAATAAAAATAAAAGATGTATTTTCAAACCATACCTAGGGAACCTGTTTTAAACTTTACAAGAATCTTTTTGGCTTATATACAATTGATATAGAGGAGGAGAACGAACTAGGTGGAAGTATAATATAAATATCCTCTTAGAGATCACCATAGAAAAAATGGTATTTTTAACATCTATTTGATAAAATGGCCAACCCTAAAAAGCAATAATAGCAATAATTGTATACATTATAGTCATTTTTTCTACATGAATAAAAGTCTCCTCATAGTCCACGCTATACTCCTACTTATTTTCAAGAGAAATAATTCATGTTTTATATTAATCTAGAGTTTTATCAAAGTGGAGCTTACTCAAGTACACCTATTTACACCCAATGATATTAACACCTAAAGGACAAAAAATAATTTCTCATGTATGATTATCTTGAAGAGCCTAAAGTTCATTATGCATTGCTTTTAACCATCACCCATGCTGGATAACTTATGACTAACATGATGGAACATTAATAATGAACAAAATAGTAGAAAAACCATAGTGATTAAGAGGATGAGATACTATCATAGATCATTGAAAAGTGGGTTTATAAGAAGGAGGCTTAAAAGCAGTTTTAGGTTGTGAATCGATCTTAGGAAAGAGTAAAGTTGGTCGATGTATTTTATACATAATTCTAGGCTTGAATCATTAAAAAAAATGATAAATCCTTAAAATTAGAAAGAATTATAATGATATATGAGGGTTCAACATAAGTAAGGAATACTTACTTATTTTTAAAGAAAACAACATTTCTAGGAATAAATAATTTATAACAGCTCATAGAATAATTAGCAGAACTTTTGTAAGAAACATTAAACAAAAAAAAACACATTTAGCAAACAAAGCAGAAAGTTTTTCATTCATAAAAAGAAAAATGGACAAAGTAAACGCAACCAAAAATATGCAAATAATGATAATTAGAAGACTTGTTGTATAGATCATAATATAGGGTATCAAAATCTAATAATTGCAATGTTAGTTTATTGATTATATAAATTATAGTAAACAAAGTTTTAACCTATAATTTAAATGGTATAGAAGACTTAATCAATATGGTTCTAATGATATTGAAAAGATGAAGGTTCTTACGCTTAGCAATCCTTTTTATTGTGATGTATATGAACATGACTATTGTGAGATGATACCTTTCTGATGTAAAAAGTTATGAAATTTATGAGACATACATTCTCTATCCAAGTAAAATCTTAATACCATAATAAAAATAGAAAATTAAGCCTCAATATAGGAAAAAAAATGTCTTCAAAATAGAAAAGATCTCAAATTTTGAATGAAGAAAATAAATATAGGTAAACCAATTATAATCATCAAAAAATCTCATAAAATACTTGTAATAAGTATGAGAAATAATTAGGGTAATGCCTCAAACATCATTATGAATAATATCAAAACACTTTATAGAACAATTATTAAAGGGAATGAATGAATGATTTTACTTTAGTGAAATTTTCATGTAGAATAACCAAAAAGAACATCATGAGATGAATATTGATTTTTATCTCATAACAAACTAGAGTTTACCATATAAGACAAAACAATAAAATTCTAATGGCTTAAAGTTTATGCCATATTTCACATTTATTTTTAAACTATAGTGTAAGCAAAAGATGAAAAATAAGGAATGAACAAGTGCAATGGAAATAATCTTTCAAATTTAGACCCTTTCGCAATTATTGTTCCTAATTCCTGATGTTGCAGAGATAACCATTACAAAAAACAAATGCATATTATAGTTATTATCCACTAATTGACCAATAAAAATAAGACTAGTAGAAAACTTTGGTTATATAAAAATGTTTTAGAAAGTTGGATCAATATCCCCAATCTTAGTAATAGTTAGGAGTGTTTAAAATAACCGATTAACCGAGAAAATAGAAGAAAAATTAACCAAAAAAACCGAACCAAAATAAAAAATCAATTAAACTGATTTTCAAAACCATAAATTTTAATAGGTCCGATTCGGTTTCAATTTTGAACAAAAAACCAGCCCAAAACCGAATCAGACTCACTAAACAATTGATAAAATTTTTTGGTATTCATAGTTAGCTAACCCTAACAATTAACATCACCTTTTTGCCTCTCATAAGAAGCCATCTCCTTCCCCTCTCAATTAATTCTCAATCTTCCTTTCCCTATTTCTTGATATAGATAAGCAATTGTATACATACAAAAAGTAGTAAGGCATCCATAAAGGAGATCAAATGCCCTTTGCATATCAATCTCCTTTTGCTTTTATTGTTTGTTGTTTGCAAGATTGGTGATGAACATTTAAAGGCTCAAAGTCATCTTTATCGCAAGTATCTGGAAACTTGGCACATATTTAATCAATTCCACTGAAAATTTGAAATAGTTTCTATTTTCTAGCTACACGGGACAATGATTTTCCACATAGAGGATCCAATACCACCGATGGCTTGTCCAAGTCTTTCTTGTAGATTTCGATGATAGATTCAAATTTGGTTGCTAAGGTTTGGATGAGAGAGCCAAAGGACCAGGTAGAGTTTTAGGTTGACGGGTCAGGGTTCAGGTTTTCAGAGCTGGAAGGAGGGGATTTGGGGGAATCTAGATGTTGAGATTAGGTTTCCTGATTTTTTACTAAAAAAACTAGATTTAATCGAACTGGACCGGACCGGTTTGGTTTGAACTGGTTTTCGATCTGGTTCAGTTAATATTTCATAAAATTAATGTAATTTGGTTTAGTTGGTTTTTCTAGTTTAAATCAAATCGAACTGAACCGTGAACTCCCTTAGTAATAGTTATATAACCTTCATTAGCAATCTGAATTTATGATGACCATGATACTCATATATATTTTTAAGCATACTAAATGAGTTGGTCATATAATTTGAGATAGCAGTATCAACAAGCTAAATTTATGAATTAATATTATTATCTGATAGCCCTAAGGTCTAAAAGGCTGAAATAATTATTTATTACACCATTTTAGGAGTAAGAATATCAAGTTGAGTTGTTATAGATGAATTGATAGACATTGCAACTTGAAAAGCATTGATGTTTTAGTTTTAAGAACGAGCGTGACACTCCATAATAATATGTCCTGGTTGTGTTCAATAATTACAAAACTTCTTTCTACAATTATTAGCAATGTTTTCATATTTGTTGAAACTATAGCACTGTATATTACTCATATTCCTACTTTTTCCTTTTCATCAAGTCACAAAAGCAATTATAACAAAAACTTCTTGCTTGAAAGTGATTTGTGTAAGAAGATGTTACTTTTCACGAAGTAATTCCCTAAAACAAACATCTAGGAAGGGAAAATGATTATAAATTATTAAGTATGAATGAATAATCTCAAATTCAGATCTTAATTTCATTAAAAATTGATCGGGTTTGCTTTGCTCATGAACATGTTGAAAAACAAAAAGAGATTTGGCAGGTTTGTTAGCATAAATAATATCAGTAAATTCTACCCATAAATTTTGAAAACTAGAATAATAATCTTGGATGGAAAGATTGCCTTGATAATAATTAGCAATATCATTTTCTAATTAAAAATATCTATCATTATTTTCTTGATTGTAAATCTTTTTTAGAT